CTGTCTTCAAAATAGTTATAAAGCTCCAAGGTGGAAGGATGTTCCAGCTGATGATGTGTTTTCACTTCATGTTGAACCCTGTATTATTAAAATTTGTTTATCTATCATTTTGAAGAAAACATCCAATCTGGTGTGAATGGACCCCACCCTGTAGACATGAGCAAATTATCTCTTAGCAAGCACATTTCCCGCTTTAAAATTCTTTATCTTCTTTCCAATGCAGGTTCCCACATTTCCAGGCATCAGCCTCTGCACTCATTAGGCTCATCTTCCTTTGGTTGCAGCTTCTATGGCAAAGGCACAAGCATCTCAAGGACTCCAGGGCAAGATCCAAGATCAGGGACATGCTTCTGAGCTCCCATTTTGAAAAGCTTGAGCCATTGCTCCACATAGCACCAACTAGGCAAAAAATAGCTCTTTTTCTACCCTACCTCCACTACTCTCTTATTAATACAACATAATACAAAATCATGCACGAGTTGGGAATTTTGGGGGAATTCGTGCAATTGATTATTCAACATTTTGATGGGAAAGTTCAAAAGGAACAGAGTTCCCTTGTAGGAGAAGATTTTCCAATAGGAGAGGCTGTATTGTGTAATGGTTTGAAATATTCTGTAGACAGAATGGCTGGGTCAATCTTTTGCTTTGCCATAGTCATGTGGCTTTTAAAAACTACTGAAATACATGTGTATCAATTTTATTATGAGAAAAAATAGTTAATGATAGTAACTATCTCATAGATTCATTGTAACAATTAAGTGAATTAATGTATGTGAACCTTTTAGAATTTCAACAAGCTATGGAAAAATTAAGTATCGATGATCACTATTCATTTATAGTTTAAAAGGTAACTCTACCAAAATAGAAGTTTCTACATAATAGATGGTCCTGATGCCAACTTACAGAATTCATATTTTTTAATATTTACTTTTGGAAATATATGAGGCTAGGTCAATAAGTAAAGCTATATATTTGCTTAATGCTGGGAATTCAGAAGACAATTTTCAATTAAACTGGAGCAATAAATTTACCTTCAAAAGTGAGTAGTAAATTTATTTCCTGTAAAAAACTTTTCTCAACTTTCCAAGCAGAATGAATCATCTCTTAGTCTATGCCTCTATCACACACAATTTTTTCTTATTAGCCTAACAATTAGAAAGGTAATCACCCCAAAGAAACACAATATGTCATCTTGTCTCTGTGTGCTGATTAAGATTAAGGAACACGCTTTATTAACTTTTAAATATTAAGCAACTACAAGAGCTTCTATGTAAAATTAAGTCAAGCTGTCTCTGTATTGATGACTTTCCCTTCCTTAGAGGATTCCCACAGAAGCTGAACACATTTCTTCCTTTATATTATAGTAAATAAGAGCTCCACCTTTGGAGTCAGACTTCCTGGGTTGATACTCTAGCTTTGCCTCTCAATTGTTATATTCTGGAATGAACTTCTTGATCCATTGGCATATCAGTTTCCTCAATATGTAAAATGGTGAGGATAATAATACATACTTCTTTGTAGATTACATGAGTTAATATATAAAGAACACTTGAAGTAGTAAGCTCCAAATATGAGTTTTCTGTATGCCAGAAGCATTGGAGATGGAATTCATGCCTGTGTGGGTCATTGTGTCTCAGAGCTGGCTAGAATCTTAGAAATCATCAAGAACATGTTTACATGAAAAAGAATGTGTTCTGCCTGAACTTCTAACTTTTTAATTGCTTATTGTCACTTAAAACAATTCTGTGGAAATGAGCAAATTTCTATTTCTAGCTCATGGCTGACTAGTAACAATTGCATGACTCTGTGCCAGCTCTTGTATAAGGACAGGAGGTCAAAGTGGTATGAATTGAGAAATACAGCCGGGTACAGTGGCTCAAGCCTGTAATCTCAGCACTTTGGAAGGCAGAGGCAAGAGGATTACCTGAGACCAGGGGTTTGAGACCAGCCTGGGCAACTTGGTGAGATCTCATTTCTACAACAAATAATAAAAAAAAAAATTAGCTGGGCATGGTGGCACACACCTGTAGTTTCAGTTACTTGGAAGGCTGAGACAGAAGGATCATCTGAACTCAGCAGGTTGAGGCTGTGGTGGCCATGACCGTGCCACTGTACTCCAGCCTGGGCAACAGTGTGAGACTCCAACTCAAAAAAAAAAAAAATAGCTTATACTTCGAGAAATACTTTTCTTAATTCCATGCAAGATTATATTTAATATATTACAGTAAGAAAAAATAGAATTAAATAATACATAAAGAACTTCAATGTGCAAAAGTTAATTATAGAAGGCAAGGGCTAAAGAATACTTACTTTTCTGAATCCTTAATATGAAAATCAGACATATTTTAAGCTAAATTGTCATTACTTATGGAAAACAATCTATGGAGGAGTACACCACTGTGAATTTCTGATTTTCCCAGGACTTAGACTGGGAGAGAATTATTGATATCATTCAAATAGGAGCCATGTGACTAAGAATTTATTACATCTGGTTGAAACCTTCCCCTGTGATGGAATACCCTCTTCTCCCTCTGGTGACCCTGCTTGCCCCAAAAAGAGCATATGCTGTGGTGTGTAGAGAATACATGAGGCAGGATGTTGAAGCAGTAGGGCTTCTTATGAAACACATCCAGCATTTTGCTGTGCATCTCCCAGTCCAGAGATCTTCTAACTAGAGTAAAATCAGGAGTCTTGATTTCTACCACTTCGGCAGACAGAAGAAAATTGACTCTGAAACAAGTGCCACACCCTCTGTAGGTGGACTTGGAGCCCAGAGTCAGTCACTCTCTCACCCACACAGCAGCACTGCAGTGTCGGTGACAATACCCTTGCTTCTTCTTTCTTCCACCTCTCTTCTCTTCCTCAATGTCAGAATAGATGCAATGTTTTAAAGGAGATGGTGTGGGCTCCGGGTCTTTCTCTGGGATCCAGAGATGATCTGCATCTTAAGGTGATTCAATAATTCAATACTAATTAGGTAAAAACCAATACTGGAAGAGAAAAACACCTAAAGTGAAACATTTTGAGATCTGTGGGCTAGAGTGATAAGCGTTGCAGGCAGGAGAACACAGGATAGAAAACATCTTGACCTGGAGCCAATAAATGATACTCAGCAATTGACTCACTTATAGTCTAGTAATGCTTTATAGCTTCCTAATAATTCAACACCATATTCCATTCAGGGATTACAATAACTTGTGAAAGAGACAGGGCAAATATTATGTTTACTTTACAGAAATATAATGAGTTTGCCTAGGGTCACAAATGGTACAAATGGAACACAAAATGTCACAAATAACCGTCCAAATGTAACCCGTGTCTCAGTCTCCTGACTCATGGTTTAGATATTTCTGACAACGTCAAATTCTAAATGTAGTGATGTTTCTGGTTATCCCTTAAAAATTGTACATGTGAAGCCAGGCACAGTGGCTCATGCCTGTAATCCCAGCACTTTGGGAGACCTCATAGGGAGGACCACTTGAGTCCAGGAGTTCAGGCCTGGGCAACATAGTGAGACCTCCCATCTCTACATAAATATACATTTTTAAAATTAGCCAGGCCTGGCAGCGTGCACCTGTAGTTCCAGCTACTCAGGAGGTTGAGGGTAGGAGGATTGCTTGATCCTAGGAGTTCGAGGCTGCCTTGAGTTATGACCATGCCACTGAACTCCAGCCTGGACAATAGAGCAAGATTCTGTTTCTCAAAAAAAAAAAAAAAAAAAAAATTATGCATATACCTATACATATATATTTAGTATGTATATGTGCATGCAGATATACTTTTCTCAGTATAAATTATGTACTCATTGCAGAAACACTGACAAGAGAATAAAGAAGAAAATGTACCCCATCACATAAATACTATTACCATTGACAACCTGAAATACATGTGGCACAGAAAACTGTTATTACTCGGCCAGTAATACACTGGAGGGGGGATGGGAAAGCTGGTCATTTTTTTTTTTAATGGAATGATCTGTGCTAGTTCAAAGTTAAGGTTCCACTCCTAGAATATTTATGCCAAGTATGTTCAGAATTTGGTATGTTTTCTTGGAAGTCTAGTGAAATTTTGCTGCGAGCAGGAAGATTTCACTTTATTTCATTGGGCTGGGTAAATTTGAGAAACACTGCTAAAATGATTTCACAAGTTTGGCTTCTAGAAGCATTTGACTACATTTCTTTCCTTTAAACTACTTGGTAGACTCTTAAATTCCTATATTACGGCTCACCTCTTCAGAACTTTGGCTTTCTAAATACAAAGTGCTTGCTAATTTCACACTCAAGAGACCATTGTGTCCTTTCTGTCCTCTCATCTTCTGTAACATACCTGGCTCCTGGTTAACCAGTTAACTATCCCATGAGATCCTGCCAAGTCATCTCATTTTCTCTCCTCTCCCTCCCAAAATTCATTTTCTCTCTTACCTTGGCTACTTCAAGTTGAGAGATAGAAAAACAAAGATAAGGTTTCTCAAACATCTTAAGTTATCTCATTTTCAACTATTTGTGTAACCCTAAGTGAGTTACTTCACTCTTTTGAACCTCATTGTTGTCTTCTTTCAAATGAAGAGTCTGGCTTAGATTATTTTTAAGTTCCTCTCAAACCCATGCCAGTGTGTGAGTTTCTAATAACCTTGACCTCCAGAATAAACTGCACTTCAAAGGTGAGTTCTTTTAGCTTGAATTAATTTGTTCATACTTTCATTCATTCTTTTATATATTCACTCAGTGAATATTTACTCAATATCTACTAAAAACTGGGGTCCATGAGTCTGGCAAACAATAGGGCATCCCTGGCATCAAGAAGCTTAGCCCTGCTGATGGGGTAATGGCGTGGAGTAAGTTTCATCTGAAGAAAAATTTAATTATGGTTATAAGAAAAACAAGATTTATTATACCATATACATTTAATTATGGTTATCAGAAAAACAAGATTTATTATACCATATACATTTAATTATGGTTATCAGAAAAACAAGATTTATTATACCATATACATTTTTATTTATTGTAGTTCATTGTTATATCCCAATGATAAAATATAGATGATGATACTTCCAATATTAATTTTTAACATTCATGTATAATTATCTTTTGTTGTTTTTCTACAAGAAATGCACAGATATCAGAAAAAATTTATTTTGAGGTCTTTTGTAGTATATTATTGATAAATTGTTGCATATTATTAATTCACGGGTCTGATATAATGAGTGGTGACAGGAATACATCTTGGCTGTGATAAAATGTACTCCTGCTTAAGTTACATTAACCTTCCTTCAAGAGGGATTTCTGAGTTGTGCTTCTTACAGTTTTTAGGAAATTCATGATATCGGTGCCTCCAGTTCCTTTGTTTTCCAATCCTGAAGGCTCTCTTGACTGCTGGCTTGCCGGAATCACAATGTACTTAGTGACTATTTGCAGATGGTAGCTCCTTAGTGAGACCAACGCTCTTACACAGGCATCATAAGCCTCTTGCAGGCCAGGATCCCCTTTTGAGAGGACAAACTCACGGACTGAAGGACCTGATTCTAATGAGCGTAGAAAGTGCTGGTGAGCTGGTGGCATATATGTTCTCATATCCTGGAGGAACTCTGCAGCAGATTCTAAAGGAACAAGAGAAAGATGAGGGAACAGAGAGGACAAAGCATTCCCTGATCCAGAGAGAGGCAGAGGGAGGTCAGATGGTGTGGGAGATCACCAACTAACACCACACAGGGGTCACTGAGGTCAAGGCCATCTTATGTGAAAGCTAATGTCTAGTTATTAGTCTTGCTGCTAGCAATAGTAATTCTTGTAAAATATCGTTAATTCTGAAAGCCAAATGAGCTAAATTCCTTCTTTCATCGTAAAACATTTTGTTTGTACTTCCTTTCTCATTTTCTACTATAGTTGATCATTCCAAGAAGCTGATGATATAGACAGGGTATATATAATCTGTACCTGACAGATTATGACACTAAGTCTAAGAGAGTTTGTTTTATTTTTTATTTTTATTTTTTTGTAGAGACAAGGTCTCACTATGTTGCCCAGGCTGATCTAGAACTCCTGAGTTCAAGTGATTCTCCTGCCTCAGCCTCCCAAAGTGCTGGGATTATGGGTATGAGTCACAACACAGGCGATCATTTTAAAATAAGAGATAGAATTAAGAAAAAAAACCATATTTTTACCCAGTCCAGTACTTTCCCCTTTTACTGTTAAGTAGAAGTATAAGGAAACAGAGAAAAGTAGAAGGAAGTTCTTCCTGGAGCTTCTTCCTATCTTCCTTCAAAGCCCCTAGAAAGAATATACTGAGTGTGGTTCATCTTTAAACTTTGGTTCAGTAACTGTTCTGGCTGTTGGGGCCACAGGACAGTGAACAAGAGTGAGGCCCAGTCTCTCTTGTCACTGAGGTCTCTATTTCCCCAACTCTTGCTCTCAGCCGTGACTCATTTGCAGATGAATCTGATCACACATTTTCAGGACATGTGATACTGGCATCACCAGAGTCAATTCAACTTTAATTACATGTTCATATCTCAAGATGGAGAGAACGACGAACTTGGGAGCAGGTCAAGCTCTGCCACTTTCTAACTGGCTAACAAGGTGCCAATCACTGATCTTCTTTTAAGTTTCTGCATCTTTTTTTTAGATGAGAAAATATAGTTTATTTAGAAAGTAAATTAAGAGAGAAGCAATAGAAGATTCACCTTTCCAAGGTAGGAGAGAGGACCACAGCTTAGAAAACAGGGTGGGGGCCATAGCTCAAAGAGTACATGGCCACAACAGAGTTTAGTGAAGCAATGGTCAGTTTCTGCATCTTGGCTTTGAAAATGGGATGATGGCAACAGATCCCTGCTTCACTGATTCTTCTAAAAGCATCAGAGAAGCTCAGGTGAGATCCCAGTGGCAGGGTGCCTTTTAGATATCAAAATGCTGTGATATTCATGTAAGCGATAATTATTTTTTGTCATCCTCCACTCACCTCCACTAGCACTCTGCTGGATGCCCAGCAGGACATCAAAGCACTGGAAGATGCTGCTTTGGGCGGCGCTGCCCCCCGCGAACTTTTTTGGAGTGTCCCAGACCCCCTTATACAGCAAACCCTCTGACAGCTGGGGGTTGCCTTTCCAGCTAAGACAGGAAAGAAAGACAAAAATTATGCTTTGGATTGACTGCCAATTTTCAGACAGCACAAATCTTGCATTAGAGGTGATCGAAGGTGACAGGAGATGGATTTCATGATTCTTTTTGCACATCTCCTTCCCCCACTCATTTTCATTTATGAGAGAAATAGTATAATTCTGAGCATTTTGGGCATAAATATTCTAGGAAGGGAATATTATCTTTGCACTGGCACAGATCATTTCATTAAAAAAAAAATGACTTGCTTTCCCATTCCCTCTCCAGTGCATGACTGGCCAAGTAATCAAGTAGTAACAGACAGAACAATCTAGTTTTCTGTGCCACATGTATTTCAGGATATGAATTGTTATCTAAATCCAACAGAGTAACAGGGACCACCAAAGAGAGTTTGGTGTGTTTTGTGTGTTAATTGAGAGTAAACAAATTAAAGTATATGACTACATACCCAGACAAATATATGCGAAGAACGTTGAAAAACAGCTTTGGGTCCACATGCTCTGTGAAAAGATAGAATGTGTTTAATTAAGCAGCATCAGAGATATACAGAGAAATCAAAGTGTTGTGTACAGCTGATAGGGGATTTCAGTATGGCCTGCAGGAAAGGCATTAGGTCAATCCACGCAGAACAAACCCCCATGGACACATGCTCACTCTCCTGCTCTCTCCTAGGAGGCCAGTTCAACTTTGTCAACATTTATTTAGCACTACTTTATGTACTTCCTGTCAAAACAGATACAGTGTTTACATAAAGAAAAACAAACCCAAACTACAAAATGGAAACAAAAGACCCAGAAGCTCTACGGACCACACGCCGGGTCTCCTCCTTATTAGATATGAAAGTCTAGCTCCTTACCAAGGACCAATCAGCAGTAACTCAAAACCCAGAGATGAATAGTCATATGTTTGTTAAGTTCATTCAGTAGAGCAGATTTCCTTTTGCAAATGACTGCTTATGCACTTCTTGTTTCTTGCAGTTTTTTAACTATCAATTTTGTGACAACTTTTGGGCTCAGTGACTTTTCTGTGTTGTTTCTTAGTTAACTTGTGAAAAAGCAGTATTATCAAAGTGCACTTATACAAGCGGAAGCTACATTTTTCAGAATGTAAACCTGCTTCACATTTAGCGAGTTTCTCCATGGTTTTTAGTGGGAGACAAGAAAGCTCCTTAAAGAGATTAACCTTGGGGTTCAATCTTTATTACCTATATAACCTTAAAGGATTTATCTTATCTCTTTGAATTTAGATTCCCTGTAAAATAGAGTAATAAAACCTACCACATAGAACACACAATGATTTTGTGAGATAAAACACCTAGAGCAAAACACATACATGAGTGACAATTGCTTTTTTCTTTCCTTTTTGTAGTAATTCTACACCGTAGACAATCAGAAACATTTGACTGTCAGTCTAGAATATTGTAGAGCATACAATACTTGCCATGAATTTGGCGAAACTCTTCAAGAGCTTTGTTCAGGCAAGAAGCTATATCCTGCAGTGCCTCTTGCAAAAGATCCAGGTCCTGCTGTTGCACTGCATTGAATATAATGGGAATTATCTTAAAAGAAAAAAAAAAGACAAATGTTGAAGATTTCCTAGAACTAAACATTGATATAGAATAAAATTCTCCCAAGTCTTAATCCCTAAATTAAATTTGGGATTTTGCATTTTTTTCCTAAGATGAGTACCCTATTTGATTAATTTCCATATGTATATATGTGTGCATACATGTATATACATATAATTTCACAAATATATGGTATATATACACACATCATATATATATGCAAATATATGTTCCTGTATATGTATATACATAACACAGAGGGTGCCAAAAATATTGTAATACTCAATATATACCAATAACAAAAGATGCATGCAAGTCACGTTTGCCTTCTGCAATTACAAGAGGTGCTCAAAGCAGTTACCATCAGTATCCAGACACTTCTGATTATGGTGAACTAAAAGTAATACATAGATAACATATTTTAAAATGTATATCCTCTTTTTGTATACACACACACACACACACCAGTCTGGGCATGGTGGCTCACACCTGTAATTCTAGCACTCTGAAGGTCGAGGCAAGAGGATTACTTGAGCCCAGGAGTTTCAGACCAGTCTAGGCCACACATTGAGACCTTGCTTCTACAACAAATCTAAAAAATTATCCAGGCATGGTGGCATGCATCTGTAGTAACAGCTACTCGAGAGGCAGAGGCAGAAGGATCACTTGAGCCCAGAAAGTTGAGGCTATATAGTGAGCCATGATTATGCCACTGCACTCCAGCTTGGGTGACAGAGTGAGAACTTTACTCAAAAAAAAAAAAAAAAGAAAGAAAGAAAAGAAAATACACACACACATAAGCTTTAATTTGTTTTCATTAACTTAACATGTAATTTAGAGCTATCTACATAGTTATATAGTTTTCATTTCTACTTATAATAGTGAAAACCTATATATTAGAGTTCCAATGCCAAATTTTCTTGAACATTTTTATTTCTTACATGGGCTTCAAATTTGATTCTGAATATATGTCTCTTAATTTTATGTTTTAGGTGATATATAAAAATATTTATGTCTACCAGATAGATGATCCCTTATCCCCAATTAAATGAACTGGTACTAGTGGGCGTGGTGGCTCACGCTTGTTATTGAAACATTTTGGGAGGTGGAGGTGAGAGGATTGCCTGAGTCCAGGAGTTCGAGAGATGTTATCTCTAAAATAAATCAAAAAATTAGCTGGGTGTGGTGGCACACCCTTGTAGTTCCAGCTGCAGTGGCTGTGAGCATGTCACTGCACTCCAGCCTGGGTGATAGAGTGAAACTCCAACTCAAAAAAAAGAATAAATAAATAAAATAAAAATATGATCTGATGCTGTATTTGTTTAGGATGAAGTTAATTCATGCTTAATATAGTTCAGTTATTAAGTGATTGCTCTGCTTTTGTAAATTAACAAACACATTTTCAACTATGGATAGATTTACCTTGATTGCAGAAGCAGCTGCAATTTCGACCAATAGAGAAACCAGGAAGAATCCTTTACTGCAGCTTCCACCAGGAAATGAGAACAAAATATCCATGTTCCTAAGAAAATCAGTCAAGGAAGGCAAGAAGTTTAGCAAAACTTATGGTATATTTGTTGAGGACCTTATAGTTTTCAAGCATTTTTATTTATCCTATTTTATTTCAAGATAATTTTGTGAGAATTTTCTCCATTGTGTTGGGATTTTTAAGACTCACCTGTTAGGTACATTGTCTAAGATCATATAATTAATAGTAAGTAGAATAAACTGAGACTTGAAATTTCACTTCAGAACTTGAACGGGAAATTCCCAAGATAGTTCTGCTTTGATTAACTCATTAACTTTTTGCAGGTGATAAATTACCATAGACATATACACAATTTTTATAAAGCTATCTGTGTGGTAGAGTTTTAAGAGGAAGTCTTTTTGTTTAAATAAATGTATTCATATTTTTATCTGTGAATTTAATTCATTTTCTCAGTGGTTCATTTGCTTTACAAATAAATTGACTGGGAAATACAAATAATGGCTAGACTATTTTTCTCTTCTATTGATGTTTTGGCATTGGTGCATATCTATGAGTTTTGTGGTGGTTAAATTCCTGGTTTCTGAAGTCAGACCACTTCTGAACTTACTTGCTGTCTGACCTTGAGCAGGATATGTCATCTACCTCTGACTCATGTTCTCATCTGTAACATGGGACTGACCAATGATGTCATCCTCCTGTTTAAAAAAATCTTCCAATTCTCTTTTATTTTAAGATCCTGTCTAAACTCCTTATCATAGCCAATAAAGTCCCACACAATCTTTTAAAAAAATATTTCTTCATCTTTTTCCTATACTGTTATTTTCATCATTCATTATTTATCAGTGACATGAGCCATCCTTCCTCTCTGATAATGACCAAGATTCTTGTCACTTCAGGACCTCACACTTGCTGTTTCCTCCATATGAACATTCTCAACTTTTCACTCTTGAGGACTCAGCGTAAAGAACTTGTTTCAGGAATTCCCATTCACCTCTTTTATTTAATTATACAATTTTCATATATCTCCTTTTCTCTCCACTAGTCTAGATTCAGTGGAGCAGGCTCATACAGAAAATATTTACCTTAGTATTCCCATCTCTTAGTCCAGATTTAGTATATAGGTCAAAAGTAGTAAGAACTGGGTCAAAAAGAACTGGTTTGTATATCTTATTGACACATGAAACTAGTTCTGGACACCAAAGTCATTAAGTCATAGATACACATATGTATGTACATTTTGTATTTCTGCATATTAATTACATATGGATGTGCACAAGAAGTATTTTGTATATATCTATAGCTATGATATCAAATAGACGCAGTCATAACACAGTCATAAACATAATCTAAGGATTGGAGTTTTTAGGTCTTTACTTAAATTAATTTTTTCCTGAATTAAAGCAATAATTTCAAAAAAGCATTTGGAGTATATTGGTAAACCTACATTCACTTGGAATACAAGATAATTATTAGAAAAAATAAGAATAAAATACTTACTCATAAGTCATCGGTCTTATGAAAACAACCATGAAGCAGTGGGCCAATTGGAAGAGGGAGAGAAAAATAACCAATTTTAAATCAAATCAAAAGATTTGGAGTTACTATTATTAGATGATCTATCAGAGGTAAGATGTAGTCAGGTAAAAAATAAATGTATACACATTTCTTAAGCAGGCCTTGAAAGCATTTAACTTAATAACTTGTAAGTGAAATAAAAATTAAAAATGCAAAGAGTACACAAGGATAGTCAAAACTAGTTGTTACTAATGAGAAACTTTCTAGATCAAATTCTCCCATTTGGGTGTCTTTCCATTTGTAGAATACTACTCTTCAGGCACACACTCAGAGCTATGGGGCACTTTAATTTTCTTGTCCCTTTATTGAAGCAGGTCCCATTGCTAAATTGGTAAAAGAGGCCTAGATTCCAAACAGGATTCTCTGCAAACCAAGACATTGCTGCCTCTACTGCTGAAGATGTGTTGGCTATTAGCTGCAACTGGCTAATTAAACATGAAATTAGTAAAACTCAAAAACATGTTAATCAGAGGAATCCAGGCACAAAAAAGTACGTATTCTATGGCTTCATTGATATGAATCCCACTGGCTAAATAAACTAATTTTTGGTAAGACAAATGAGAATATATTTACTTATGGCAGGGAAGGGAATTAAGTAGAAAGAGACCCAAAAGCATATTTTGAGGTAATAAAAGATTTTGTATCTTGCTTAAGATGGTGGGTATATGAATGTATGCAATAATCAAATTCAAACAGAAAGTTTACAATGTATGTATTTTACTGTAGGCTAACAATACACCTCTCTCCTATGTGTACAAAATACTTGTAGTTCCAAGCACTGCAGTGTAAGTCTATACTCAAGAAGAGAGAAGAAAACTGTGCTGCCAAAAATTAAACCAACAGATAACTTCCTTTTGATTTAAATAACATGCACTCCATAAATTCCTATTATAATCACAGTTTACATACCCATTGGGATCCTTTTTCTTCCAGTTTGCCAACACACAATCTGCGTAAACCAGAATGGGAGGCAGTCCCAGCTTCTCAGAGAGTTTGCAGTAAGGAATAGCAATATTGCTTGGCAAGACCTAATCAAAACACGATATTTAGTTCTCATCATTCAAGTCTCCTACCTTTCCTTCTGCTTCCTGGGTAACAAAAAGTGAGCTGTCCTGTATAAGGGCACTTTGAAGCCAAACCAATGTAGTTTTTTTTCCTCCTTGTTTCGCAGATAAAATTGTTAAAAATTTATATTTTGGATGTGGGTTGATGTGGTGATTATTAGATCATAAAGGGATTTAAAAAGGCACAGAGTAAGAACAAAAGTTGCATCTTTGACTTTCTTTGGAGTTATTTTCGCTCATTCATTCATCTGTTCATCCCATGAATATTTGTCAATCATTTTTTCAATGCAAGATACCACAGTATCCACTAGCAATAAAAAGATAAAATCAATAGTCTCTTGGCCGGGCTTGGTGGCTCAGCCTGCAATCCCAGCACTTTGGGAGATCGAGGAGAGTGGCTTGCCTGAGTCCACAGGTTTGAGACTAGCCCCAGCAACTTGGCAAGACATCGTCTCTACAATAAATCAAAAACTAGCTGGGCATGGTAGCGCGCGTGCCTGTCATTCTGGCTACTTAGAAGACTGAGGTAGAAGGATTGCCCGGGCCCAGCAGGTCAACATTGGGGTGGCTGTGAGCGTGCATGCCACTGCATTCCAGCCTGGGAGACGGAGTGACACTCCAACTCAAAAAAAAAAAAAATCAATTATCTCAAAGATGCCTAAAGTCTTTGTAACTATGACTCTTGGATATGATATATAATGTTAAGTATAGACAGATTGCTGCCCTTAAAGCATAGTGCTCTTTCTCCTGGATGAGGGTTTATTTATGTATTTATTTATTTAAAGAAAACTTCACAAAAGAATGACAGGGCTTGGCCCTGAAGACTCATGAGCTGAAGAAGGAATTTCCTTTTTTCCTTGCTTTGTATTTTCATGCAGAAATAGATTAATTGGGATGATACCTTTGGCTAAACTGAGTGCTTTCACTCCTTCATCCTCAGAGAAGGAGTAGAAGTTCATCTAATTGTGGAGTTTGGAAGTGAAACTACAGCTCTGCCCCTTTTCTCCTCAACTGTTCTTTTTTCTCAACCTGGTAATTGTAGAATTGTACCCTGTTCAGCCACACAGTAGAACTCTTAGGTAAAACACCAACTACCTTTGTCAAACACTAAAAGCTTTCATGAAATGGCAGAAGCTTCCTCTGGAATCTGTTTTATCCTTTTGTGATTTATAGGTCAGACAGACACAGTTTTATGTGATTAGGATTGACAAATATGGGATGACAAATAAACTGGCATATTGCGTGGCATATGTACATGCTGAAAAAAATCCATTGTTTATCTGAAATTCAAATTTAATTGGGTCTTCTGTGTCTTTTTCTGCTTAATCTGGCAACCCTATATGGATAGGAAAACAGGAGCTTTAGTTGCATTACTGGATAAATAACGAACAGAGGTCAGTAGATTTTACATTTTATTTGACATCTTCTATTTATCTGCCCTATGCCAATCCCTAGGAAGAGGTTACTGGAAATTTCTTTTGGTTGAATTTAGAGTCAAATTGGTGTCAAACCTAAGTTATAATGGCTATGTGCTTTTATAATCACTACTTTTATTCAAGCATGAGACTATGGCTAATATATAAATGTATCCATATAAAGTACATATAAATAAACATATGATATGGCACTGTTTTAAAACCAAAGTTATCTAATGCTGATAAAAGTAAAATGAAACCAATATGACCTTCTGTGTTGACAGATGTCAGGTAGCACTTAGGCATTAACTAAGGAGAGCTATAAAATGTTCATACCTTTCAAAAGTCATCAGAGAAAAATGATTTCTGTTCAAAGATGTTTATTATAATGTTATTGACAATAGTGAAATATTAAAAATAAGCAAATAATTTATCAATTAGAGGCTCTAGTAAGTAAGCGAATTGTTCAGAAACTCAGTAAAATTTAGAATCATTTCAAATGACTAGAATAGCTGGGTTCAGTGGCTCAAGCCTGTAATCCCAGCACTTTGGGAGGCTGAGGTGAGAGGATTGCCTGAGCTCAGGGGTTCAAGACCAGTCTGGGCAACGTGTTGAGAACTCAACTCCACAATAAATTTTTAAAAATTAGCCAGGCTTGGTGGCGTGCGCCTGTAGTTCCAGCTACTTGGGAGGTTGAGACGGAAGGATCACCCGAGCCCAGCAGGTCGAGGCTGTGGAAGTCATGAGCATGCCACTGTACTCTAGCCTGACAGAGTGAGACTCCAACTCAAAACAACAGCAACAAAAAGATTAGAATGATAGCGCGGTAACAAAAAATTGCCTTCAATTATGTTAAAGAAGTGTGCCTAGCTACTTGCACTGGTCAGAGCAAGTGTGCAATATAAGTAAAAGACCAAAAATATAATAATAACAGTTGACATGTTAAGCCAGTGAATGTTCTTTTTTCTTATTTTTTGTGAGTTAAACTTTGCAAAATGCAGTTATAATACTTTTAGAAAAAAATTTACATTGAATGTAAATTGGATGAAAATCTGTCATGTAACATAAGAAATATTAGAAAATCTTCAAACCTTACGGACATCTCCATCACCTCGATCCCACACGTATGCCATGGTGATGTACCCCAGAACAAGATGTGCAAGGCGCTGTAACTTGTGTCCTTCAAGGTCATCAATGCTGAGCATAGGTAACTGAGAATAAATGGAGAGATTGACTCAAATCAATCCTGGCGATGTTTTAGACTTCAAAACCAATTGAAAAACATTAGGATGCTATACAAGAAGAAGACAAATATAATATATATTTCAAACCTTCTCAACTTCTGCTCGAAGTTGGCCAGACTCAATCAGCTCAGACAGATGTTTAACAATGAAAATCCAGGCATCATACTTATCAGGTAGCATTTCCTTGAAAAAAAAAAATCTTTATTATTTAAGTAGCAGTAACTGTGAAATTGTTTTGGTTTCTAGCTTATTGTCTGCCTTGCCTCTAAATCTTTTGTGCAGTGTTACCCTGATACACACTTACTTACCTGTCTAGAAACACCTGCCCTTGCCTGGCCACTTGTGAATGCAGGGCTAAACCTCCGTGCTCCCCTCTTCCTCTCTCTTCGGGCACTCCCATCTGCCCCTTTTTCAAATTTCACCTCAAAACTTCCACTAAAATTTTTCTGACTATTCAACACACAAATCTCCTTCATTATAAATCCCATGGATTATGTATTTTCATCCTGTTAAACAACTTACTATGTGCTACTTTTTTTCTTGGCTAGATTTCCATTTCCTTGAATGGAAGAAAAATGAGATATAGGCTTGGAGTGGTGGTTCATGCTTGTAATCTCAACACTTTGGTTGACCGAGGCAGGAGCGTAGCTGAAGCCCAAGATTTCAAGACTAGACTGACCAACATAGTAAGACCTCATCTCTACAAAAAATTAGTGGGCATCTTGGTGTGTGCCTTGTAGTTCCAGCTACTGAGAAGTCTGAGATAGAAGGATCACTTGCGCTCAGGAGGTCAAGCCTGTGGTGAGCCATGACTGTGCCACTGCATTCCAACCTAAACGATAGAGTAAGACCCTAACTCAAAAAAAAGAAAAGAAAAATGAGATGCATTAAATGAGATTTATTAAATGTCAATAGTGAATCCAGCACTCTGCTTAATAATTTCATATATATATTTATCATTTAGTACTTGTAATGGCCCAGGCTCTTTGAGATAAATAAGGAAACCCAGGCTCAGACAGTTTACATAACTTCTTTTTTTGCATATGTAGTTTATTATAATTTAAGCATAAGTGTTTCCAGCTTTCACAATTCATGTTCTTTTTACATTTTACTACCCAATCGCAAGGATTGTATCATGCTTTTAATTTTATAGCTCTTGCACTATCTGGCACATAGTACTGGACATATAGCTGGTACTGTATATATACATGTTGATTGCCTACTTTGGTTTCATTATAGGCTTGTTTTTTTTGTTTTTGTTTTTGTTTTTTGCCCAAAGTGCAAATGAAATCCAAATAAAAGCGTCTCTCTGGAGCTTACAATATTCATAATCTCATCTCAGGGGGAAAAATACAAACAAAAGATCTAACCGGGCTTAGTGGCTCAGCCTGTAATCCTGTGCCTTTGGGAGGCTGTGGTGAGTGGATTGCCTGAGCCCGCGGGTTTGAGACCCGCCTGAGCAACTTGGCGAGACTTCATCTCTACAATAAATCAAAAAATCAGTCGGGCGTGGTAGCGCACGCCTGTAATTCCGGCTATTCGGAAGGCTGAGGTGGAAGGATGGCCGGAGCCCTGCAGGTTGAGTGCAGGCCGGAAGCAGCCACTGCACTCCAGTCTGGGCGACAGAGTGAGACTCCAATTCAAAAACCAACCAACAAACAAACAAAAGATCTAGGCAATATCCTGTACGAGATAGAGGTCCTTGAGCAACTTTTCAAATACCCTGTTTCTATGCCTCCTCCACAAGGCGTCCATAGGAGTGGAGGAGGCACACCCATAAAGTCATCAATGCTGAACCCTAGGAACTGAATGCAAAAAGAGAGATTAAGTCAAATCAATATGGGTGAGCTTTTAAGCTTCAAAATAAAGGAAACATTATGAATAACTATAAAACAAGAAGATAAATATAAAATTCAAACATTTTAAACATCTGCATGTAATAGTCCTGTCTTAATCAGTTAGGGCAGGGTTTTACTAAGCAAAAATCCAGACAGCACACTTCACTAGATAGCCATTTTTCTTGCTCTTAATTTTTCTTTTTGACCACACAAAAGCTGGGCTCTAATGCTTTGAGTAATAAATGTAATACATGATTTTGGTTTTTTGTGCTGTTCTGTATTTCATTACATAGCCCACTTGATCTTTCAGTTGTTACGGTTTCCTCCAAATAACAGAAGTACATTTTTGTCATGTACCATGATTAGTATTTTATTTGGCAGAATTTTCAACAAATGTACAATTCAATCAATACTGTGCTCCTGGTTCAAAGTATCCCTAATTAGTATAATAATTAGTAAAGAATAACACAGAGGATCACTTAAATTCTGCTAGATTACGGAATGTATTTTGTGTATATAGGGAATCAGAAGATATGTTTTCTTTTGGAATAGGAACTGAGAGATTATTAGAGATGAAACAAGCATTTTTGATCTCATAATTTCTAGGAAAGGTCTGTAGTGAAGAACTAAGAGTAGCCCTTAATTTTTTTTCATGTTTCCAGACACTGAATCTAACTTTTTCAGCATCTTGCCTAGAAGGAGGATTTTTCAAGTAAGCAAGGAAGAGTTTTGTTCGGTTTCTCTTTAGGTCTTGTTTTAGCCTTTGGGATTTCTTCTAGAGGTATTCACAATTACCATGGTCATTGCATTTTTAAGAGAATTGACTCTTTGAAGAGAGAAAAAAATTTGATATGAAGTTTAGTAAATTCTGAAAAAGTTGGTTTTATTGTACCATTGATAAGCACATCCTTGAAGTCACCCTAACCTGGCATTAGTGTGTATATGGGGTAAGGTGTGCTAAGGCAGAGAGCAAGTTTGAATATTATTGATTTGCACGTATAAAGTAAACTAGGTGCTTTCGGCAATAAACCTAAAGCATACTCTTCATTTTGTTAAATTAACTTAACAATCTAAAAAGGAAAATTATATTGATAGAAAGGGGTTGTTTTAGATTTGCAAGTATCACCCAAGCTATTTACAGGATTTTATTTCTAAACACAGGTTGGAATCTCCAATAAAAAATTATTTTCTATATTTAAAGGTGCTCTCTAGAGTGTGGACTATGTTTGAGCTATGAACAAATAAAAATATACTAGTCTACAGAATTGTTACAACATGTAACTGGTTCATAGAAATCCTCTTCTACAATTTCAGGTAGCTTGTTAAACCCAAGAGTAAAAAGAAAAAAAAAAAAAAACCGTTGTGATCTCTTCTATTAAGAGAGGCAGTACAGCAGAATCATAACAGAATGGTTTTAAGATCATGGACCCCAGAGCCAGACTGCTTTGGCTCATACCTGCCTCTGATACTTGCTAGCTGTGTTTGATAATTACTTAAATTCAGCATGCCTTATATTTTTCATAAGGAAAATGAGGATAATGACACACATACCTTTTAGGATAGTTGTGAGAATAGAAAGGGTTAATACTTGTCAATTGCTTAGAAAAATGCTCAGAGTTTGATAATTAAAATACTGATGATAAATTGTTTTACATGGCATTCATTAGAAAACAGATTGATAAAAATATTATTTTTAAAGCAAATATTTTCATCATATACCTTGCAATTTGTGGCTAAAGCATGCAAAAAAAAGAAGTACTTTACACTCTCACTTGAATCTTATGCTCAGTAAACAGCAAGCAATATTAATATAACACAAAAGTTGCTTGATGTGCCATTTAATAGACTCCATCAAATTAGGAAGACATATTTTGTACAACTTAAGATAATCAATAGAAAAAGAGGTTTCCCTTTGACTCATGCCCATTTTTTTGCTTTTTAAAAACACGCTCTAAAAATACAGTAATAATAAACTTATTTATGACTTCTATAGTGCAATTATTTTCTAGAACTAAAATACTTGCCCTAGTTTTCTTATGTCATCACTCTCCATATGCAAGTTAGGTAAATAAGATGTGCATAGATGACTACATTTCTAGGGAGAAAATTTTAGGAAAAGTTAAATAAGACACAGTTATTAAAATTCTGTCTCCAGTTTTGGCACTGTCTTATCTGTTTGTTTAGTAGAACTTACTGAATTACAGTAGTTCAGTAGGAGTTAACTTGTTCTGTTATGTAATGAGAAGAGACATGCATTTCCCCACATTTCAGTATTCTTTCTTACCAGTGGATTTGGCAGAGCAAAGCCCACATCTTCATCTATGTGATATTCTTCAGTGATTTTCCAAGAACTTTCCAAAGGGGATGCTTCAGCAAGTGCCATTGTTGCAGACTGCTTCTCTGGTGCCTTTCAGTCTCTGAAGAGTTGTAGAACATCTATTTATTACAGTTGTTGCTATAGCCAGTGACCACAACTATCACGTAGGCAGTGAGAAATGACTTCCACTTTTGGAATAGTTTCATTTTCTAGTTTCTTTATTTGCAATTTGATAACCCACAAAAGCATCTCTGTGAATCATATGAAGAAACTGAAAGGATATATTCCATATCAAATCACTAGGCGTATCATTTGCTTACTGCCATACAGGAACCCAGAAAGAGTCTGATGGGAAACACAAAGACTATGAAAACAGGTGAACAGGAAAGAACATTCTGCTTTATGAGAACTGTTAAATGTTTGAATTAAAAGAAAGAGTTTTACCATGACTCTAGTCCCAAACTATCATTTAGTTATTTGTCACTGGCTTTCTTTTAGGCTTCCAGGGTTCTTTGAAAAGATCAGTGTCTTGTTTCAGCAACCCAGAAATAAAATCTGTGATACACTGAACCCTTAGTCAGTGGCTCTGAAGTAGACAAAAAACAGAAGCACACGAAAAATTAGAAAGCTGGTAACTCCCCAACCCTCCATTTTTCTTATCTAGACTTTTATAATGTTCATAATGATACAGTTTTCTCCTATTCACATTCCTCCTTATTTTTTATTTTTTTGAGTTGGAATCTCACTCTGTCACCCTGGCTGGAGTGCAGTAGCACAGTCATGGTTCACCACAGGCTCAACCTCTTGGGCTCAGGTGATCCTTCTTCCTCAGCCTCCCAAGTAGCTGGGACTATGTGCAAGTGATACCACATCCGTTTAACTTTTTAATTTTTTGTGGAGATGAGGTCTTGCTATGTTGCCTAGGTTGGTCTTGAATGCCTAGTCTCAAGCAATCCTCTCTCCTCAGACTCCCAAAGTGCTGGCATTACAGGCTTGAGCAACTGTGCCCAGCCCAAATTACTAATAAGCAGCTTTTAGGAAGACCTTTGCTCATGTTAGCTGTATCTGACTGTGAGGGACCGATTTGAGAACAATCCTACACACTTTGTAATATGTTAAAAGTTGAAGCAAAGGATAAAATGCCTTTAAAATGTTTCCTTCAAAAAAACAAATGAAGACTGCATTTGGAAAAGGTTCAGTTTACATGCAAGTCTATGGTCATTTTAGAGGCATTGGCTTACATAACGCTGAAGCAAAAGTAGAAGCCGTGTTGTTCCTTTTGAAGATCAAAAGGAAAAGAGTAGGAGTTAGGGTTCAGTACATAAAAGTCAATGCACTTTTGTCACCCAGCTTATCAGTACTTGAAGTAAATTTTAATAGCCCATGGCTTTGGTCACATTCTAGAATAGCTCTCATGCCATTCCTCTCTATTACGTTGTGGCTTTATTATTATTATTTTTAAGAGGTAGTTTTATAAGAAAATGTTCTCTGAATAGGAAAGGCAAAGGAAATTGAAACCAAAATCACACAGCTAAGAGAATACAATGACTACACTTCTTTTAAATAAATGATTCATGAAGCTAGTACTTTTGAAACCACGCCTAAGAAAAACAAAACAAAAAGGAGGGCCTATCATATTGATGTAAAAGTCAAAAAAGTAACAACAAAATATTGAGAATTAGAAAATGTGTGGTTATGCCTGTGATTTTTCATTCTCTGTATCTGAGGTTTTTAGTAATGAGTAAAAGTGAAGACATGTAATAAAGTTTTAGATGATTTTGTCTTGGAAGAAACTCTCAAGATTGATTTATTAAGAAGGATAGTTTGATAAAAAAATTTTTGACTTTGTTTATCCAGCTACCTCACTAAATCTAGCTTACCCTTGACTTCAGAAACAATAAGCTTTACTGCCTCAATTGTCTCTCTACCTTTTTAATTCCATCAACCTTTGGTTTCCTTCGTACCTCTGAAACTACATTGGCAATTAATGCTGTCTTCAGTCACCTTTATTTTTCTTCAGCCATAGCTACATCTCCTTTAAAACAAACAAAAAGTAAACAAACAAAAACCCTTTCATATGGTTTTGGAAGAGCATCTTAAATTTATGATCTCATTTGGATTCCTTATCTTCCTGTTTAGCTTTTTTACCTGTGCCCAGGTCATTATACTAGAGAACTCCTGAGATCCAGAACTCAGCTTTTTGCACTATGTCCTCTTATATGTGAGACTTTATAGAAACCTGTCTCCCTTGTATGTATTACCTGCTTTGGTAGCTTGAATAAATTTTTCTCTAACATCTCAACCTGAATGTCCTGTTATCCAGTTTCATGGGGAACTGTATTGACATCAGTAATATAATGACAGGATTTGCAGAGGGATTTTTGTTCACAGCCATGATAAGCACAAGTGTATTTCCTCTTAATTTCCTCCAAAATACATCCAAATTCTCTTTACTATTGTTATGCTAATTTATAAAATGTAGCTTTATTTTTAAAAATTATCAATTAGCCGGGCTCGGTGGCTCAGCCTGTAATCCCACGCCTTTGGGAGGCTGAGGTGAGTGGATTGCCTGAGCCCGCGGGTTCGAGACCCGCCTGGGCAGCGAGACCTCATCTCTACAATAAATCAAAAAATCAGCTGGGCGTGGTAGCACATGCCTGTAATTCCGACTACTTGGAAGGCTGAGGCGGAAGGATCGCCAGAGCCCAGCAGGTTGAGGCTGCGGTGGCCGGGAGCGGCCACTGCACTCCAGTCTGGGCGACAGAATGAGACTCCAACTCAAAAAAAAAAAAAAAAAAATTATCAATTAAAAAAATAAAATGATCTGGAGTATACAAGATCAATGAAAGACATTTTTTTCTCTCTTCTTTCTCTAATGAACTTCATTTATTAACTTAAAAAACTTAAAAAAATAAATAGCAACATTACTGATGTTCACCATTAATATTTATATGATTATGCTTTATACAATTTTTAAAAATTTGAGTCAGAGTCTCACTCTGTTACCCAGGCTGGAGTGCAGTAGCATGCTTATGGCCACCACAGCCTTGACCTACTGGGTTCAGGCAATCCTTCTGCCTCAGCCTTCCAAGTAGCTGTAACTAAAGGCTTGTGCCACCATGCCTGGCTAATTTTTTTGATTTATTGTAAGGATGAGGTCTCACCAATTTGCCCAGGTTGGTCTCGAACCTGTGGGCTCAGGTGATCCTAAGTGCCAGGATTATAGGTGTGAACGACCACACCTGGTCATTTTATACCATTTTTATGCAAGTTAATGATATCCAAATTTTCCTGAGTACTTACTAGTGCAATTTTTAAAAATTTTGCTTTTTTGTAACTAATTTGACTTTTATAATTGTCTTATGAGGAAAATTCCATGATTTCTCTGAGAGGGAATTAAGATGATTCAGGATTTCTGTGCTCTTATTTGCCTGAACAAAACAATACTCCCATAAGGAAGATATCATCATAGTTATCAAAGTATTGATATTGTTTTTATAGATCTCTAAAAGTCACTAAAATTATAATCAGGCACAAGATTCAATGTTGAGGGAAACAATAGTTTATAGAAAGAGACATACAGGGGATTCAATAAAAGAAATAACAGACATCATTTTTTTTTTTTTTTTTTTTTAGATTTATGTTAGAGTCTCATTTTGTCTCCCAGACTGGAGTGCAGTGGTATGATCATGGCTCACCGCAGCCTCCATCTCCTGGGCTCAGGTAATCCTTCTACCTCAGCCTTCCAAGTAGCTGGGACTACAAGCATGTGTCACTACGCTTGACCAACTTTTCTGATTTTTTTGTAGAGATGAGGTCTTGCTATGCTGCTCAGGCTGTCTTGAACTCCTCACCTCAAGTGATTCTCCTTTCTTGGTTTCCCAAAATGCTAGGATTACAGGCATGAGCTACCATACCCAGCCAGAAACTTGTCCATTTAACATATTCAAAAAAATAAAAAATAAACAACAAATCCCCAAATATTGCAGACACTGAAAATAATAACCAAATGAACATTCTGGAATCAAAATCATTGAGGAGCCGGGCTCAGTGGCTCAACCTGTAATCCCGCACCGTTGGGAGGCTGAGGTGAGTGGATTGCCTAAGCCCGCGGGTTCGAGACCCGCCTGGGCAGGCGAGACCTCATCTCTACAATAAATCAAAAAATTAGCCAGGCGTGGTAGCGCGGGCCTGTAATTCTGGCTACTCGGAAGGCTGAGGCGAAGGATCGCCGGAGCCCAGCAGGTCAAGGTTGTGGTGGCCGGGAGCGGCCACTGCACTCCAGTCTGGGTGACAGAGTGAGACTCCAACTCAAAAAAAAAAATCATTGAGGAGAAAATTCAATTATATACAGATATGTAAAAAATTACAGATTAAAGCCTGATGAGAAAAACAAATTAATGGAAAATAAATAGAGAGAGAGAAAGAGAAAGAAGTGTAGAAAGAGGGTGCAGTAAAGAAAATTAATATAGCTATAACTTGAGTCTCAGAGGAAAAGAAGAGAAAGAATGGAGTGAGGCAATAGTTAAAGCAAAAAGGGCTAAGATTTTTTAAAACTTAATGAAAGATACCAAGTTACAAATAGACAAAACACTACATACTTCAATATGGTTAAATTAAATAAAAATCACACCTAATTGCATCATAGTAAAACTGGCAAAACCAAATACAAAAATCCTAAACCTTAACATTTTCCAGAAAAAATGAAACAAATAAGGACCTTTAAAGAGACAAAATTTGACTGACAGCTGAATTCTCAAGGAAACAATGACAACCTGTGGACAATGGAATGATATTTTAAAAATGCAAAGGAGCAAAAAAGATAAGTCAAGCTAGAAGTATATACTCACAGATAATATTACTTAGAAATATAAATAAAATAAAAACATTTTTAAGGAAAAGAATAAGAATTGCCAGAAGCCCACAATCAAGAGACTATTAAAGGATCATTTTTAGTTTATGTAGAAGGAAAATTTTTCAAAAGTAACAATAAATGAAGAACACTGAAAGGGGTGACTATCTGATTGAGTCTAAATGACAGTCTATAAAATAATAACAATTACTCA